AACTATTTATAATAAGTCAATAGTACAACTTGCATAAACCAATCACCTCTTGAAAACCACGTATTCATCCTTCACACCCCATCCAAGTCCTTAGACCTTGGTATCGAACTAATTCATTGAATTCAGTGGACAAATCGACTAGTACTACATTAATTCCCTCTACCATGACTATATGCATTACCAGTGATTCTTAAGAACAATTGAAGTCATCTTACAGAATAAATACAGAACAATGCAGCCAATAACGTTTGGAAATACCGCTACTGCTATTTGTAAGGTGATAACAAACAGACCAATCACAAGCGAGCAAATCACTTGTTTATCTCACTCGCGGGCCTTCAAAATTACGGCTTTCGACAGGCTGCCAATAATTTGCGGTGCTACGACAGACTCCGTCGTGTCGGTCGACATGACTGACTTAGATCTCTATAGTGAGATCGTTGTCGAAGACCATGAGAAGGAGTTCGAAAATCCTTCTCTTTCCAAAGAGGTACTGCAAAACATTTTAATATATCTTACTAGCTTCACAGACTTGTTTTGTAATGCCATCCTATTTAACTACTAAACTTGATTTTACAGCAAGTTTATGCAATAGGCTTTCCCATGTTTAACCTATTTGAGGGGTTTGGACTACTAGAATAGTGCTCATGAATTTAGCTGGCCATGTCTTATCAACCCAAACAGCGACAAACACCTAAACCAATAGCTGCAGTCCGTGCATGTCCATATATTTTCCAGACTGCTATGGTTCGTACCTACTTAATATATATTTTACGAGGCCGCAGTGTTGGCGCTAGGAAATAAACAAATACTGAATGTCGTAGGTAATGTGTCGGCTAATGAGTACACCTGGAAACTGTCGAAATTGAAGTGTCTCACCCAAAATCTGGAAGTATATTTGGTGGTTGTAGTCCCGGATTATTATATGCTTTTCACAATCTATTCTAATTACTGTGACTGCGAATTCAATTTTTTCCTTTAAAGCCCGAACATACGTGTGCTCCCCATTATTCATTTTTGGAAGCTGAAGTGGAAGCTTTAAATGCTCAGGTCACTCGTCTAGAAAAAGAACGTTCTACACTGCTCGCTACTAAAGACCAGGTAGCGAATAATTTCACACGACTAGGACTGGCTTGTCGGCGAGAAATCAGAAAGTTGAAATCACAGATAAAATTGCTTTGTTCAAAGTAAGTACGTTCTTGGCATAACATTTTTTCAGTGTAGTTTGTTAGTGCCTATTCGCACATCACTTATTTTACTGGACTTTGATTTGCCTTATGATATATGTGTTTTCAGCATCCACCCACCTATATATTGCATCACTTGATGGCGTCGGAATAGTTTGTCTATCACACATGTTATGGTTTCAGTTCCCGTTAATTTTTTAAATATAGTTTTTGAAATGTCGCATTCTACTTATCAATTTACCTGAAGTACCAGTTTGTATCATGCGATTTTGGTAAAGATATCTGCTTATCATCAGATTTGATAAAATGAACTTGTTCAAAATTTGAGGTTAGCGATGATATTGTATATGGACATTAGTATTAAAGAGTTAGTATACATTTGCGTAATGAATTTGTCATGCACATTCTTCTGCTTATAGCGCACCATGTCTAGTGACAAAAGCTGCAGTTGAGTCACACTTTACTCATACATATTAAACCATGTATGACTTTTGCAACAATTTGTACATCAGTGATCTTTTGTCTTTTTGTACCTTGTTTAGTAAGAAAAAGTTTCCTATTATGTCCGCTTTATCACATGCATCATAGTGTGAATTCATTGCGTATTGTTTTTTACATGCAAGTTATGAACCCGTGTGATTTAGTTCTCAACTGTCTGGTAATGTGGTATACAACAGTTACCTACCCATTTTGCTTTGATGTTGCTACTTTCATTGTTTTAAGTTGTAGAAAATGAGTTGGTTGTGAACTAAAACCGTTTATTGACTAACTGATTCCTGTTCGTGGGGAATCCGTTCTGCATTTTAGTGTGATATGATTGTATGGTTGGAATTATTAGGGGAATGGACGAAAACGATCTCAAAACGCTTATAACAAGCAGTACATCCAAGAGTATTTTTCAAGGGGAGTTGTTTATGCTACGATATTTCAACAGATAATACTCACAATGTTGCTGTCTGGTTCGAGAGTTCCCACTATGATATCAATGACCACTGAATCTCCAAACAACATTCACTATCATATCTCAAGTTTTGCAGATGTAAGACAGAAGTGCCTGACTAATGTGGTAATAACGTCGAAATTTATTCTGATAAGTAGATGTTTCTATAACAAATTTTATATTTTGGATCCTAAACGTCACCACCAATTTTCCTTCACGGTTATGTGCAGTCACAGGTAAGTGAGAATCTTTCCAAAGTGACGTATACTTATGCGTCCTGATGTCTTGCTTGGTCAGGACTTTTGGAAGCGAGTATACACGGTAAATCAATAACCCTACAGTGACAAACTGTCGTCTGGTGGTCTTTATCTTTGAGTGAACGTGTTTTGTTAGACATTTCTATTTACATTACTGTGAAAGTCTTTCTTTATATGAGTGATAACAGACATAATGAAGGGCAACTTTTAACTTTACAGACAATTAAAAGCCGAACTGTATGTATTTTCTAAACTTATTTTCTAAAAAGAAGAAGGGAGAATATCGTAGCATATCCATTGTCGATTTACGTGTGAGCCATGTATGATGCACTAAGAGATACCAATCGAACGCAACTACCTCTCTTTCCATGGTGTAATGTCATGGACTGACCGATTTGTTTGACCAGTCCCAGGGCTAGCAAACAGTATATAGCATGGATCCTCTGTAGTGAGTTTGACAGCCAAACAACGATGTCATTTATTAAATGACGATCACTATTTCTCAGTACACTCGAGGAGTGCTCACGTACGAGAATCATATTTCCACTTGGTGTCCCGATAGTATCTCAGCCTCATATGTTTGAAAATCCGTTCGGTTGTTGTTGTGGGAAAGTTAACTGAAACACTTTACTGAAGTTATGCACGTGAATAGACAGAGATGCTTTTTAGAGTCCTAGTCAAACTTGCGTCTTTTCTAATTTGCATCAATCTACGAACGTTGTACGTAACAAGGTGTCAGCATCGCTGACTAACTAATAGCCAGCTCTCTGAAACCAACTATTCAGCTACTCTAAACGGTACAGGTACCTCGAGACAACATATGGTTGGTAAAATGATGATGACAAATGTAATAGTGGCGAAAGTCAAACAGGAGAAACTATAACTAAAACAGTAAAATCGTAATAAAATGAGTGTTTGAATATGTGATTAGTGAAGCAGAGGTCGGTACAAGTCTTGAGAGCGTGTCTCAGATGACCTTTCTCCTCACCTGAAACTAATATGCAGTAACAAACTGTTTTAAATGTTGGTGACAAGTAAACTTACCTGTTTTCATTCGGTTCTGCTAGGATTCCTATTTTTATTTCAATTTGTATTGTTTCATTGTATTATGTGCTAGGTTCTCATTTTAGTTTTTTTTTAAAAAGTAGTTTTAACATAGCCATACAAGTATAAGAACTTATATTTTCAAGCGATGAGAGATATTTCAAAATTGATGCCTACTGTGCTCATGGTCCACAAAAAGTCATTTCAACTGTACTATCTCGCACATACTTAACCCTGTTTTGCGTTTTTTTAATTTTGTCTCCATGATTTTCATTGGACTGCTTTATTTTGGATATCTTGGTTTTGAAGTGGCTTAGTGTTGTCTCAGATTCCAGTTTGTTTTGGTGACTCAATCAAAAGTCTTGCTTAACTATGCTTAGTTTCTTCCGCACTACTCAAACCAACATTTTAGTTGGATGAAACGCAGTGTCATACACCGATGGAATTTTATTTTTGTGAATCAACCATTTGAAAAACCTCAGTGTTGCAGGTGCTACCTAGGTATGACATGATTGGTTTTGTAACTGGTAAGAATGTTTTTCAAATCGTGGAAAGTACCCATTGGAACATTAGATTGAGAAGAATAAGAAGTTCAGCAAAGATATCTTTTCGGCGATTATATTCATCATCTCACTAACCCACCGCACCAGAAGAATCTGTAGTGATGACTGTTTAGAAGAAGAGCTCCTATTCCTAAAAAGCATCCTGATTCAAAACGGATACCCGCCGCGTTTCGTGGAGAAGAACATGAAACCAAGGCCAAAAAGAGAAGAATACATTTCAGTGCAAAAGAAGACACTCTATCTGAATCTGGAATTCAGGGGAGACCTGGCAGCAGATATCCTTAAAAGGAGAATCTCCAAATCCCTGAAGAAGACTTTTCCGGCAGCAACTCTAAGAGTGACATTCTCTAGCCGCCCACTTCTTCGGAGCAATGGGAAGGACAAACTGTCGCATATGGCCAATTCAATGTGCATTTACCAGTTCACCTGCTCGTGCGGAGCAAGTTACATAGGTCGTTGTATGCGCGTCCTTTCAAAACGTGTTAGAGAACACTACCCAGCGTGGCTGCAAAGAGGAGGCACCGGTTCAATCAGAAGTGCCATTATTGAGCACCTGATCAATACCTCCTACAACATCTCAACTGATTCATTCAAAGTAATTTACAAAGTCAACAGGAACCTACCGAAAGCAGTTTGTTTCCGACTTCTCTGTACTGCAGAAGCCCTCGCAATATGCATCGAGAAGCCGGAGCTGTGTGTCCAAAAGAAATTAGTCCAACCTCTACAACTACCATGGACTTAGTTCGGTATGTTACCGTAGCTTCCGTTTTTGTTTTGTTCTTTGTTTTTGTTTTTTTCTTTTCTTTTTTGCTTTTGTTTTTTGATCCCTTGTCGTTCGCTATGTGTGTGATTCTTACTCCCTCAGTCTTCATTCGATTCACCCCATCTTTCCAGTTATAAAAAACAGTTATTTTAAGTTTGTTTCCATGCTTTTCCTGTTCACATTTATAATCCGTTTTAAAAATTTGCAATTATATCTTAATCCTGTGCAATTTTTTGTGTTTCTAAGGCTCTTGTAATCTATATTCACACCTCCTAACTTCCATTTTAAGTTAAAACTATTATATCAATTTTGTTTCCATGCTCACTTTCTGCACACTTGTAATTTGCTAAATCCCATGTAATTTTGTTTCTAAGGCTCTTGTAATCTATATTCGCGCCTCCTGATTCCCATCTCAAGTTGAAAATTATTATTTCAATTTTGTTTCCATGCTCATCTTCTATACACCTGTAATTCGTTGTAACCCTGTATAATTTCTAAGGCTCTTGTAATCTGTACTCGCACCTCCTGATTCCCATCTCAAGTTGAAAATTATTATTTCAATTTCGTATCCATGCTCATTTTTACACACTTGATATGCGTTCTAATCCTGCGTAATTTTGTTTCTAAGCCTCTCGTAAAACCATATCTAGTTTGAAACAATTATCACCTTTTATTCGCCGTCATAATTATGTAGAATTAAACAAGAATTGTCTCCATGTGAAATTATGTTTTTAAATGCGATTGTACAGCTTTTGAAAAGGAAATCGCCGAAAAGATATCTTTGCTGAACTTCTTATTCTTCTCAATCCAAGAATGTTTTTGACTTCAGTCGTTAGTGATAATAAATTATTTCGATTCTTCAGCATGCAAAGTATGCATTTCTGCACAACTTCTGTACATTATAGATTTTGAATGTAAAATTATTTAGTTATCATTCGAAAACCAATAAGTCCCTTCGAATGAAGTTTTCAAAAGTTGATGTTAATATTTCTTTTTGGATTTCAATCAGTCATCAATCCTCAGTAATATACAGAATTAATAAACTTGTCAGTGATAATAACGTGTATGTGGGTGAACATCTTTGTTAGTTTATTTCATTTCTTGAGTCGTGTTTTTTAACTTTTCGTCTAAAAAACTTGTATAAAAGCTTGTAGAGTTTTATTTGATTAAATTACTAGTTACATGATACTACATTTCAGTTTCTGAGATATAATTGGGTAGAGTAAGTTGAAACCATTTTTGCAATGACTAACATTACACCAACCTGTGAACCAAAGAAATACGTGGTAAATTATTTCATACTACTCGATGAGCAATGTTGGCTGACATAGGGTCGGGTTGCAATAGATTTAAGGGTGTTCAAACAGAAACCTGTCATTAATCCATAAATTCTTTGACAGTTGGTTTGAGCCACGTAGAGAGGTGCACACTTCCTGATTGGGTTCCTCAGGATTCTACGAACTTATTGCTAAGGACTGTTGGTGACACATCTCGAAATCGTTCACAGTGGCAGATGTATTCACTCTCTTTTATCTTTGATGTTTATTAGATCGTCACATCTTTCCACATTATGGTTCTTCTGTGCACTTCCGCTTATTTGTAATTCCTTTGAATCTCTTTTTTCTTTGTGTACTATATGGAGTGTGGCAACTTAAACTGCTGCACTTCTGTACGGATTATAGTTTACTTGTGAGTTAATTTTGCTGGTCATTTTCATAATTACTATCATATGACTTGATATATCACTTTCACCACCATCTACTAGGATAGAGGTTTGTGTAATTAAATTACACCTCTCTAAACCAAACTAATTATATAGATAGTAATCGATAAATTTTAATGACTTTCACCTTTTATTTCGAAGCTTGTATTATGTTACATTCCAACTGTAGACATAAGATTCCAGAACCTGAAGATGTCAATCAAACTAATTTGGCTCAAGATGTTCAGATAGACCCCGAGAAGCAGAATTATTACCCAGACATGGTAGCCTATCTGCACTCTGATCTTCCGCCTGTCAGTATCTATTCTACTAACTATGCACAACATGGGAGTCTTAGTGTCACCTCGAAATGTGATGTAACTACACAAACGGAACAATTTAGACGACATAATTCACGATCATCTGTCTCTTCTTACGGATCACACTCATCACAATCAGTATCATCAAGCTCTTCATCTTCAACATCATCTTCAAGTTCTAGTAATTATGGTCAACCTCGTACAAGTACCGTTAATAATGGTTTCATACCTAACTTTACAGATCTGTCAAGTAATAGCAGGTATTTACCATCCCATTCACGACCAGCAGTTTCAGTCATTTCAAAGAAATTCGAAAGATGGACGTGTCATGAGTCAATTGCTAGCGGAGCGCATGAAAAATCTTGCAAATTAAGCAAACTTGGACAAGATGTCGCTTGTTCTCCACAGTTACTTGTTGAAAAACGACTCCATGCTTTTGCGAGTAGGTCTCAAGGGATATATGCAGTAAAGGATGATGTTGGAAAGCAGGTACTTACCAGTAATGCACATAATTGTAAGTGTGCTAAACAGGTCTCCACTCAGGAAAAACAAAAGGACTATCTAAACAATCAGAAAATTTTGAATGGTTCTAGTAGAAACGTGCAGTCATTATCGAAAAGTCAAAAGCTGTCGTTTCATACAGGAAAGGAGTACTTGTCATCTCCAAGTGAAACCACTGATCAACCTTCCGCCACTCGGAACTCGTCCGTCAAAAATCCTCATAACTCCCAGATTGAACGACATGGTTCTCGTGGTTTGGCAGAATTTCGTTCAAATAAGCCGAAAGATTCTTGTAAGTTTTCATTATAATTTTGATATATGCATGTTTGTAAATTTAATGGAAACGCAATATAGGTACTGGAATTTGTTTTTTGATAACAATACATACTTGTCATAATTTTTTATGTTCACTGAATGTTATGAGTCTCGTTAACAAAAGAAAACACTTTTGTAGATCATTCCAGTTACTCCAAACAGTAATATCTGATTTCAGTGTATAAAACGCTGAGCAATATCATTAGGGTGGAAATTATTCGGAAGTCAGTTTCCCAGGCAAACTGAGTATTGAAACTTTTCCAGTGATCCAAATTCAAAATAGTGGATTTAAATGAACGTCAAACTGATTTCTTTAAACTCCAGTTGTGAGTGCAGTTCATGGCTTTATCTTTCTGTGTTTGGTCACGGAGATCTGTTCTTTGGATGAACTACTAGTGAGTCATGTATACTTAGTCACATTTAGTAATAAATAGGTATCATTTTTCATCACGTTCATATCATACACTCAAAGATATTCACATTAATATTCGACATTTCAAATCAATAGCTGCTGCTGCTTCTCACTGAACAATTTGCGAGAAATGTGTCCCCTGCGTCTTTGCTTCAGATGCCACGTAACCTGAATTTATTTGGGTAATCGGAAACAATTAGTAACCATAGTGTATGTACACTATTTCCTACCTGTTTATTTCCACTTTTGGTCGCATACTCAGAGTATGATTGCGAACAAAACCACTTCTATGCTGGTTAGACCGTCAACTTCAAACTCATCTCATTTTCGCAACTTTCATTACAAATTGTACTTCGCAATATAAGGGAGGAGTGGCAAGAACTTGTGTAAAATCTTAAAAAATGTACAACCCGAATCTAAGTACTGTTGAGTGAAATTGAAATCCTCGCTTTATCTGCCATTCTGCAACATTCTAACGTAGTCAATCATTTTGTAAATGTTGTTAGGATAAGAAATTCCGGGAGTTGTAAGTAATTTAAAGGGGAACTTTGACCGAATGAACAAAATGTATTCAGTAGTTTTATATATTGGTTTTAAGTGATAACTCGTTTTTAGGTTAATTGGTTTGAAGTCAAAAAATTAGTGTAGTTTCCCCCTGGTTACAAGTGTTAATACTGAAAACAACTCTAAGACAAATGTGATATCACCAGTCGTAAATATCATACATTTCCTTATTGACCACATCTAAAACTCAGTGGAAAATACAGAATCTTTTAAACTCCTTCAGCAGTAAGTCTACGTGGTAAGCAAGAGTCAAATCCTAGTTTAAAGATGTGTTAACTATTTCACTCATTTCGTAAGCTTTATCAGCTTTCAATGAGTTTGCTGATGAACCATTCTCATGGATAGGATAGGTCTACTCAAGAACTTTCAACACGCGTCATCTTAATCACTAGTTAGATTTTGTCATTCTGTCATGAAGTAAGAGCACTGCGTGGCAGTTTCTTCTGTCACAGTTCATGACAGTAAGAAATGGTCACTGAAAGTAAATATGAGAAATCATCGGCCAAAAATCAGTACGTAGAGATTCTCTGTAAAGCACCTTAAGATCACTGACAACACATATGTTTGTATCACCATCTCTCACACTCATGTTAATGTATTATAGTCCTCACCTTTTTTCTCACTTATGCTTATGGTAACTAGGACCCCAAGCGAATTCCTCCTAACAACTTCATTATCATCTTTTGTTTGCTATTGTGAAGGCACCGGTGCAGAACCATCAAGTAGAGATAATGCGGCAAACCAGCTTCTCAAGAACGTAGAAACTTCTGTGACCTTATCACGATATCATCATTCTATGCGTAGACGTTTTGCAGGTAATGCTGAGATAAATACAACGTTTATTCTTAAATTCATATACATATACATATACATATACATATACATATACATATACATATACATATACATATACATATACATATACATATATATAAAGGACTACCAATTCATTGAGGTTTCTTTGTGTGGGTTCTAATCCTCTCTTCGTCGAGATTTTAAAGCGCATCGGTGGTTAACTGGTTGGATACTCGCCAACCACTCTCGTGGTCCGGCGTACGATCCCCAGCTGACGCACTCCTTGACGTATCTTAGGTGCAGTAAGCCTGGTGAAGGGAGCAGGTTAGACGTGGGGCTAGCAACTCTACGCCGTTGGAAATAAATACCACCGCTGCTGGAATTTCAGAGTTCAGACTTGAAGCCCTGTGTTCCACTGGGAAAGCAAAGGAATAAAATCTAAGAAAAATAAAGATGGCAAGTAATCTTACGTAATCAAGAGGGTTGACAACCAATTAATTAGGTGATGACTTATCTTTTAGAAATAATTGCTAGAAAGCATGAAAACAAAGTGAGTGAAAATGGGTTATGAAAATTAAAAAAATAAAACAATTACACAGAGTTTATCGTACAATGATTCAGGAAAACACCAATTAGCACTATGGACACGGTAGTAAAAGAGGCTGGATAAAACATTTGTGAACATAAAATCCAAGTTTATCCATACGGATTGCTAAAGCTTCGGCTGCACAAAGAAGCTGTAGACGAAATCCTTCTGAACGGTTGCAGTAGCAGGACATTGTTCAGACGCCTTATGAACGCGTACCAGTATGGTTAACAATAGAACGCTCAATTCTCGGGTACATTATCACTTCTGGTCACTCAACACTAGCAGAGACTTCAAATATATCAAATTCGATCCAGCCGTTCAAAGGAATTTCGCCTACACCTTCTTCATGCAGCCGAAGCTTTAGCAATCCATCAGGAGAAACCTGGATTTTATGTTGTTCATAAATGTTTTATCCAGCCTCTTTTACTACCATTGTGGAGTGTGCTGCTGACAGGATTTACCAGTAGTATATAAGAAGACTTTCAACGGCACACAAATATCCAATAGTGGATAGATTTAGCGTCCAAGCGAGCAAATGAACCAGCGTTGTGGCAAAACATGGGAGACACGAAAAGAAGACAAAGAAACAATACGAAAAACAGAAGTAGCACAACATGGAAGGTCTGTGCAAATGACGATTTTCAGATAAGGTGTACACAATTTCGCCATATAGAGATATCAAATTCCAAATAAACATTCGGTTACCAAGTCTCTTGTCTTCTGTCGTTACACCATAATCTTAGTGTCAGTTTTTGTTCTCCCGAATCGTTGTATGGTAAACTCTATGCAGTCGTTTTATTTTCATTTTCACTCCTTTGTTGTCTTGTTCCTCTCTTATATATATATATATATATATATATATATATATATATATATATAGGCCCAACAGTTTTGTTACGTATTCTCGTTGCCTATTGTTGTTCATAATTATTTTCGTGCCTTTTAATCTGCATAAATTGATTCTTTTTAAGCATCCACCCACCGTAACCGATGCTCAAGGGATGCTTACCATACCAATAAAACCCAAGTTGATGCATTGGATATGCGAAGTAGTTGTTCAAGTGAGCCTAAAAGACAGACAAAGGAAACCAGTGCAACGCTTTATGCAATGAGAATGAGCTCAAAATGTTGTATAAAAAATATAGGATTTGAGTCAAGATCTCACGACCCAAGTGATGCATGCCACAAACTCAATGCACCCAAAGAATATCTTTCTTACAATCGGCGTTCCACACCTACAACCTTAATCCCAGCTTCCTCGCTTTCTGTTGGAGATATCCACACTTCTAAGGAAAATCCTAACAAAGAAGCTTCAGATGCTTTTGACGAGCCGGCGGTAGATTCACTTAGTCAGGTTGATAAGTGCTCAGCTCACTGTTCTCCGAAGAATGATTCATTTTCTTCACTGGATAACAAAAACACTGACCTAGGCATTACAGAAGTCTTAGGGCTCACGCCGCCTACGGAGCAAGAATCCTTTGAGTATCAGGATGACCTACCTCCCATAAGGTTAGTAAATTCTCTATATTTCAATCTGTATTTCATGTTTTAGTTCGCATAAATGGAGAATTAGTTTCTTAAATACGTCTGTGACATCGTGTACCCGCCTTATAAAATTTTCTTTAACTATCTTAGGTATTTTCATTAGGTAGGTGTTATTCATTAAAATCTATTCAATGAGCGTTCACTTCTTACTCTACTACCCAGGGTGGCCTACTAGTGTATTGATCGCTACTTTTAATCAGATATAAGTAGTATATCACTAAACGAGTTCAGAAAAGCAACAATATGTTTTGGACACTGGGTAAAGTAATCGAAGAACTAAACTATAAGAAGAACGTTAGAAACACTTTGCAGAATCCAACAAGCTATCGAATGTAGTGATATTCGACCAATTTGCAAATGATGTGCAAATCATTCATTCTGAAATCATTCAAGAATGTTGAAAATCTTTCAATCTTTCACACATCCCTGAATAACTTAGCCAGTCATTCAACTAGAGAAACTAGGTGTGATGCGTTTGTATTTAGAGGTCCTTTCAGACATCTTTGCTATGTGGTTCCATGTTAACTGATGATGTTGCATTAGACCTCAGTATATACAGCTCTTAGCCAATAGGTCAGCTGAACCGTTTCTTTCTGCCTGGCATTACCAGTTGTTGAAATTTGTTAACTGGCCCACCGTCTGTTTCACAGATCGTTTTGCTGACTTCTGTCTTTTGCCATCTGTGATTTCACCATACTCATGGCTCCTACCTGGTAAACAAGTGTACTCCCGGCCGATAGCTGCTACCTTGACGTGGTGGTCGGGCTTGCATATCGCAATGACCCAACGAGCTATACTGGCTGGAACTTATGTTCCTGTAGGTCCTACCATGCCATGTTTGGATAGCGGTTAGACAAAAAGCAGCTACCCAATCCAATACTACGATTCAAACAAATTCACAAAATATCATGCCGGATCGGTCGGGGCCCAGTTTAACAACGACCGCGCTTCCTGCTGCCGTGTCACAGGGCAGAAGTGACAAATACGCTACTGAGTCACACCAAACAAGAAAAAACAAACAAAAACAGGCCGCGTGTGACCGGCCTCAAGCAGTTGTCCCCTGGGCTCTACGGTCATGCAACACTTTCTGTTTCAGGTTCCCGAAGAATCAATCAATTTCCACGGTGTGGGCAGCCGGGAAGTAACAAGTGCCCACACACTTCCAAAAGCACACGAAGCCTTCCTGAGCATCACTCTCCCTTACTCATATCACCTTCCCCATCTTGCTTCTCTACTACAGCTAGCACTATTCTTCAGGCTAGCGAGCCATCTTCACTTCACTCTGTGTCCACAAACAAAGGTGAGAGCCATAGAAACAACCCAGATAGCCTGTTAAAGCCACGTCGCCAACTGCATACAGGAGCTTTTAACGTCAGGACCCTCTGCCAAATCGGACAACAGGCATCACTAGCAAGAACCCTGGAATCTAGAGCCATGGATGTATGCTGTGTTTCGGAGACACGCATACAAGACCCGAGTGTGGCCATTCACTTGACCTCACCCGGTCAACAAGGTGAATCTGCGAAATTCACCTTGAGGGTGCCGGGAGACCCCTCAACTAGCTCACGAGGACTCGCAGGTGTAGGGATAGCACTGAGTGTTAGGGCGGAAAAATCACTCCTTAACTGGATCCCAGTAGATAGTCGTGTGTGTGCGGTCCATCTGAACGGGTCCGTTAAAAGAAGGAAAGAAGACGCTACCCGTCGTTGCCTTTTCGTAGTCTCCGCTTAGGCCACAACAGACTGCAGTTCGGATGAATTAAAAGATGACTTCTACCTGAAACTGTCTAATTTGATGCAAAAAGCAAAACGTTCAGACATAGTTGTTTTAGCAGGCGACTTCAATACCCAAGTAGAGAAGTTGTGACAGACTGAGAAGTATGTAGGTGGTACGTATGGAGTTCCCTGCCGACGAACCGACAACGGTGATCGTCTTCTCCAGTTTTGCTCAGATAATCATCTGTTCCTAGTCAGCACTAACTTTAGGCACAAAGAAAGACATTGTGTAACCTGGCGACCTCCATCACCAAATCAACGCTGGACTCAGATAGACCACATAGCCATAGGGTATCGTTAACGAGGGTCACACCTTCTGGAACACGTGAGTAGACTCTGATCACGCTCTGGTTCGCGCACGTTTATGCTTATGACTAAATGGACATAAGAAATTGACGGCAGCGAAACAGCTACGTCCCCAACTAGATCGTGACACTGAGTCCTTATTTAAGGAAGAAATAGCGAAACGAGTTTCTGAGGTCGACAGCAGAACTTTCCCCGAGGTAACCTGGCACAACATACAGTTACCCGTGGACACAGCCGTGGAAGCTGTGAATAAGCTAAAACCTAAAGTTAATAAAAGCCACTGGATCTCTACCGCCTCATCCGAACTGATTGACGCAAGAAGACTGATTCCAGCGAGCTCCGATTACGATGAGGAGCGAAAGGCACTTCAACGAGAACTAACAAAAAGTCTCCGCAACGATCGTGAACAGTGGTGGGCGACAAAAGCGAAAGAGATGGAAAAGGCGTCGGCGATTGGCAACACCAGACAACTATTCAGGCTTATCAGGGAAACAGGTGGCAAAAGGTAAATGGTAAGTGAAACAATCTCGGAGAAAAATGGCACCATAATTAGCTCCCAGGATAGACGACTGGAACGCTGGAAAGAGCACTATGAGAACCAGTTTAATTGGCCTACAGCCACACTTAACCTGCCGAACATCCAACACCTCCCTGAATGGGATATAGACACAGGTCCTCCTTCCTTAACTGAGGTTACTAAAGCTGTCACTAATCTGAAGCAAGGCAAAGCAGCGGGACCTGATGGACTGACTCCAGAGGTATTTAAGTACGGTAAAGACAGTTTACTGTCTGCGTTAACTGAGGTTCTAGGCAGCGTCTGGGAATCAGAGGAAGTCCCATCGGGTTGGTGTAAGTCACTGATCATCCCGATATACAAGAAGGGAGACAAGTCTTCCTGTGATAATCACAGAAGGATTAGCTTGACTAATATAGCATCTGCAGTTCTAGGCTCAATAATACTGCGTAGACTAAGTGGTGCTCGGGAGGCACAAACACGAGAAAACCAGGCAGGTTTTAGGCCAGGAAGAAGGTGTATTGATCATATCTTCACCCTTCGACAGATTCTAGAACATAGGCATTCCTACCGGCGTCCGACAATCACTATATTTCTTGACCTAAAGGCGGCATTCGATTCTGTCGACCGAGAGGTTCTCTAGCGATGCTTGGCTGTGAAGGGAATGCCGAGAAAATACATTGCACTGATTAAGGCACTCTACTCGTACTCATGCAGCCAGGTGAGGGCCTATGACGAGTTATCATCTGAAGTGGTGACGACTAGTGGCGTCCGTCAAGGATGCCCATTATCCCCATTCCTATTCAAATTCATCATAGACGTATTAATGGACTTAACCCCAACTCACTTCAGCGACTCAGGGGTTGACTTGCTACCAGGAAATAATCTCGTCGACTTAGAATATGCGGACGATATAGTCCTACTAGGCGAGGACGCTGACGAAATGCAGAGTCTACTGAACACCTTGAGCTGCAATCTGCGATTCGCTCCCACCAAATACAAGATGATGTTACAGGATTGGACTACACCGACTCCTAGATTAGAAATAGGAAGTGAAGTGGTAGAGCACGTTGACCACTTCACTTACTTGGGAAGTAACATCATCCCCAACGGGTTTATCTCTGACGAAATCTGAGCAGGAACACAGACGGCTAGGTTCGCATATGCCAGTTTACGCCGTCTCTGGCGTAGACGTAATATCCGCCTATTGACCAAAGGGCAGGTGTACTGCTCAACAGTCCGCTCTGTCCTCCTTTATGGCTGTGAGACCTGGTCATCGAGAGTGGAAGACATGAAAAGATTAGCTGTCTTTGATCATAGGTGTCTGCGTTCTATCTCCCGCGTGAAGTGGTATAATAAGGTGAGCAATGTTGAGGTTAGGCGTCGAGTGCTAGGTAAGGCAGGGAAATCAGTCGACGAGACTGTGAAATTACATCGACTGAAATGGTTGGGACATGTGTTACGTATGCCTAGTCATCGCCTTCCTCGCCGAGCAATGTTAGCTGATATAGGGCCAGGCTGGAAAAGAGCTAGCGGCGGTCAAACGAAAACATGGCACCAGTCAATGAAATCCACAACAGTTAGTCTAAGCCACGTAGGAAGATGTAGACTTCCTGGTTGGGGTCCTCGGGACGGTAAAAACCAATGGTTGGAAACAATTGGTGACATGGCTCAAAATCGTTCTCAGTGGCGCAGATGCATCCACTCCTTGTGACCTATGATTTCCAATTAAACTGTCTTGTTCTCCGTTATTACTATTCCTTTGTCTCACACCTCTGTCTACTGTCTCTATTATGCATTTCTTCTCTTGCTTTGTGTGCTACATGGAGTGTGGCGACTTGAACTGCCGCACATATGTGCAAAGTTCTATGTCGAAAACCGACCGACCGAATCAAGTGTACTCGTTAATCAAAAGTTTAGGGTCTTTAGATTAACGGTCACTATGGTTCGAAAACCGATGCCTATTCTGAAATTTGGACAGCATATGTTTTATTGAACCTTATATGAAACGATATAATCGTAAGTGTCTATTTCAACTTACTGTACAAGCTTATGAATACTGTTAGTTTAATTGGAATCAACAAAGTAGTGTTTTACTTGTTCACTTAAAATTATCTGGCAAAATATTCTTATTTGGTTGCAGCTTTGAAGTAATGCATTATCGATATATGAATAAAACTTGGGCACTGTGATAGAGTATGGATAAAATTTTATTTTGATAAATCACAGTGTAATACAGTAATATTTACTGATGACGTTTCGAGCAGAAATTATTGCTCATACTCATATCAAGGCACTCACACAACTTTCCTGCTTTATTAAAATGATGCATACAAAATTCTATTGATTGATATTTATGCAGACTATCAATATAAGTGAGAGAGTTCAAAATTAGGGGATATCTCCACTCTGTAAGCTGCATAAGCAATAGTCTGTGTAGCTAGATGTTGCACGTGTGCGTATTTTGGAGTTGTATTATGCACCTAAGCATAATTCAGTTTTTCATTACTTCGGTTTGAACATATGTATATATATATATATATATATATATATGTGAAACAATTAGTCCCTTTGATAAATTTGAATAAGGCATTAAGAAGACAAATTTCGCGAGATGATATCATTTCTTAGTTTCTTTATAACCGCTTTACAACTAACGTGGTTAACAATAATAAAATAAAGTTCATGACAATTACTCAGTTAAATAAAAACAAAAGTACATACTAATGACCAATCATATTTAGATAGGTCAAGTAGTCCAGGGTAGGCGAAGATTGAAGTCTATTGATTTTTGTACACACAGTTTAGGCTGTATGTGATTAATCCAAAGTGCTTCCATCACCTTCAATAACCTTGAATTAGAGTTATGTGAAATAATTGTAAAACAGTCATTAATATTTATTTTGTGACCTGACATTAATAAGTGTTTTGCAATGGATGATGCTGGATTTCTATTCAGATTACTGGCATTGGGATTTTCTATGTGATTTAGTAGCCATTTTGGAACATGTTCTTTCCGACGACATTGGAATATTCTGTTGGTTCTACCTATATAGGTGTCACCGCAGCTGCAGGTGAACTTGTAGATACAGTTTGAAGTAGAGTCCACAGAATTTCGTCCTTTAATCGTAGGTACAGGGATTGAAAATGTTCGGCAAGTGAGGAAAAGAGATGCGGCGTAGAATGTGCGTTTGATGGCTGACCGGAGTCTTTGAGCTGTCAACTGCATAATCTGATCACCCTTGAATGGTAGGTTAATAAAGATAGCTTTCTTTGGTACAGAAGCTGTCTTTTCGAGATGTGGTCTTTCTTTACTGTGACAAGTGATAAAGTTTTCCGGATAACCATTAGCTAATAAAACTGAATGTATATGTCGAAACTCATCCATCACTGTGTCACTCGTGCATATTTTTCGGGCCCTTGAGAACAAACATTTCACTAGGGAACGTTTATACTGGATAGGAACAAAACTGGTAAAATGAAGATATTGTCCACTCCACGTTTGTTTACGAAAAATAGATCTCTGAATCGTACCATCATCTCTCCTGGTCATTGTAATATCGAGGAAACCGAGTTTGTTATTCGATTCGCGTTCGGAAGTCACTCGGATATTTGGATGAATATGATTAAATAGAGTAATAAAGTTTTCAATAGATTTAATATTATCACCAATAATAAGAGTATCATCTACATAACGTTTATACAGTATAAATTCTCCAAGCATACCTTGCATTTGTCTCTCCAATTTCGACATGAACAAAATGGCTACTAAATCACATAGAAAATCCCAATGCCAGTAATCTGAATAGAAATCCAGCATCATCCATTGCAAAACACTTATTAATGTCAGGTCACAAAATAAATATTAATGACTGTTTTACAATTATTTCACATAACTCTAATTCAAGGTTATTGAAGGTGATGGAAGCACTTTGGATTAATCACATACAGCCTAAACTGTGTGTACAAAAATCAATAGACTTCAATCTTCGCCTACCCTGGACTACTTGACCTATCTAAATATGATTGGTCATTAGTATGTACTTTTGTTTTTATTTAACTGAGTAATTGTCATGAACTTTATTTTATTATTGTTAACCACGTTAGTTGTAAAGCGGTTGTAAAGAAACTACGAAATGATATCATCTCGCGAAATTTGTCTTCTTAATGTCTTATTCAAATATATATATATATATATATATATATATATATATATAATATTTGTATTTATTTAGGGTCCATGTAGATCCTTTTGTGTATCACAGGTCATGAAATTCATCGAATTTGTTCCGGTTGTCATTCAAATTCTAGATCCAACTCGCTATCAAATCGCTCTGAAGCGGAATCCTATCAGTCGCAGAGGCATAATACCACAATAGGAAACCAAGAAGAGGGTGAAATTTCGGATGATGGGGATGATGATGAAGACGCTGAAGTGTTCAATTCTTCATCCGATTTGAACAAAATACGCAAAAGGTCTTGGTCCCGTTCCTCACACTCCAGTTGTAAAACCTCTAAATTGTGCTCAGAACAACAAGTTAATGATGCTTCAAAATTTCAGGTCTCTACAGACTTAAAGCATCTGTCACCTCATCCTACGGGTGTATACCGGAGGTCGAGGAAAGGTTCGAGAAATTCCGGTCCAGGTTTTTCAGATTTGAGTTATCGAGTATCTTCTGAATGTGGTGAGCTATTTGCCAATTTCCCTGCTATCCTATTCCATTTTCACTATTTATTAAGTTACACAGTAGATAAAAGTGAAGTTTAATTACATCCGAGTTTTGAATATTTTTTTTCGAGCATACGGCTGTGTATGAAATATAAATTTTCAATAATTGAGTACTGTATAGTAGTTGACTGTCGTGATGTTCAAGTAGGTGGTCTATAGAATATCATTTATTCAGAACAGACTTACATTAGCAATGTTAAAATGTATTTAGCCGACAAAACAAGCTTTATCATACCAAAACAAATAAGTTGAAAGGCCAGCAAGGGGTATAAAGTGGTGGTGGTGGCAGTAAGAACAATATTAACAATAATAATAAAGGTCGCGAAGCATTAGTTGAATACTCTGTCAAGTAATTTAATCATACATGTAGTTTGCGATTGCGCGTTGCTGTTGTGCTTTGTAAGAGACTGCATGTGAATTGTCTGTTTCATTCATACCTAAGAAGATATAACGCTTTGGAACAGCTGTTTTTATTTTGCATGATAACAAAGCGTGTGGGGACTGCTAGCAGTGTAAAACAAAAGTTTGTTGGGATAAATTATTTAGATTTGCATAATTTTGGAGAAAAAGCATAAGATTCTCTTGATGCTGAGTATTTTTATAAATGTAAACGGTAATCAGTCTCTGTGCTACACATCATCCACTTGTACAGAAGTATTTCTAACTAATGATTAATGCATATTTTCTTTAGTGCTGTATTCTATTTTGTGTGAATTTAGTTTTTGTTTCGCAAATTTTTCTTTTATTATTTTTTATTCAAGAAGATAAACATACATTAAATTCGGATAACACGAAGTTATACTGTTCATCTGAAAATAATCATCATCGTGCGTCGCGATTAAGTTCTTCTGCCTCAAGATCCCCTTCTACGAGAAATTCCCGAAATGAACACCACCATCGTCACCATTCCTATCGGTCATCACACTCCACATCTAAGCATCGTCCTGTCAAGCGCCACTATGTTTCTCCCGAGAAACATGATAGATCGAGCATTTCATCGAATCCACCCAGACGACGCATATGTCATTCTCCAGTATCACCAAATAACGCAAATTCTAACTGTCTTCTGTTTGGGCATAACAGAATAGTACGTCGGAATAGACGATTTCGTGTTTTGTCTCCCATATTGAACAGGTATCCTCATCGTCGACCAGGTGTAAATTTTTCGAAGGTGTCTGGTCCACGTTTTAGTCATGGCCGGTATCAACACCAAAACCAACACCGCCATCAACGAAAATTTTAATGTCATTTAATCATGACTTTGTACATATTAAAATTATATTTCATGCATGTAATTAGAGAAAAAGTAGAAACAGATCACTTTTTGCCTATTATCTATTTTTGCAGTTGTTAAATTCGTTTGTATTTTTCTTCTTCGAGTTAATAATTAAAATACAGTTATTTTTTCATTCTCTTAGTTAAATGAATTGAATATGTACACTCATTCAACAGCTAGTTTATTTTTCGTCAAGTAAACTACCGGTGACCGACATTTTTTCTGTGAATTGTTTTCTTATTTTCCAAAATACTGTTGAGTAATGTGAGATAGCATATTAACTTTAAAGTATTGTAACCGATCTAAGCCTGTGTATCACCATTAGTATGATTATAATAATTAATATTATTAATGTTTTTGTCTCAGACTTTTAATCCTTGTGAAAAACGATAATCACCATTCAACCTAAATATGTGTAAAAAGAGTAAAACAAGATCATTTCCTTTGAAAAGTAATCATATTCAGTTGAGTTGTATAATATCATGTGGGCAAAGAAGCTCATGATCACCGAAACCACAGATGTATAGTATTCTTATCTTTGCAAAGCATAGTATTTTATCAAAAATTACATGAGAAGGTATGTCAATTGTATCTACTTTTTCATTAGGATTTAAGATCTAATTCTTACAAAAAGTTATATTTGTCATAAATATATCAAAATTTAGTTTCGATGACTGTGTTTCTTATCGAGTTAAAGTCCTCTGTCTAATAATACAGCGTCAAAAAGCAGCATTGATTTCCCCCAGAAAACTAAGATTGTAACAAAGTTAGGAAACTACGAATGGTGAGGTATCTGTTAATTAATCTTATATTTAAAGCAGAGGTCTGTTAGCCATAGCTAGCTGTGAGGAGAAACTGCAAGTTACTGAAGTCAGTCATTTCCTGATTGACTTTAAAAATCTGAGCTAACTGCACTAATTTTTCGTAACATAAGAATCATTCAGTTGCCCTCTGCTTTAAGTTTCACTAAGGGATATCGACCAACTTAATATGTTACACTGACTGCCATCCAGTGGTAATATAACTTACACATTCCATCGTCTTCGCACTGTACGAAATACGGTCCTTGTAACGAAATCACTGAACACTTCGAAGAGAAATCATGATCACATTTCCCCTTTTTTAATGCTAGTAGTCAGTTCTCTGACATGCAAAGATGAACACGGAATATAAAGACCACGAGATAAACTTCAGTGAAATCACTATTCTGGCTTTCTAACCTGATCTTGTCATTTGGTTTCAGCTACTCGAATTGTTCAAATGCGTTTTGTGTTCTTTTGTTCTGGAAGAATTGTCATGAAATTGGAATTTATTATTTCTTATATTGCACCGAAAGTATTCATTTTCATTCTACAACTAATTATTATTAATTATAGCATCCGAGTGCACAACTTGTATCAATGATTACACTGAATGTTAGTGCACTGCTTAAGTAATGAATGTACATGACCATTTATGGTGCACTTAATGAAGTGAATTAATACGTGATTAATGTTAAGTGTTTCTGCGTTTAATCTGAATAATAAAATGAATGAGATTTTCCTAAAGACTTCATAGTCAGCGTTCTGAATATATATAAATGGACATGCATCCATGTTGCAGTTCTTTTTGTTGATTGATTCCTTCTAAAATCTAATAATATCATATTCATGTAGTGAATAAATAGTTTATGTTACATTGTCTGGACAGTTTACTGTCGCATTGTTCACAGCCATATTACACGATACATTTATTTGTGCTCTATCCGAAGTACACTCAGTACAGGTTCACTGGTTCAATTAGAAATAATGTAGTGTGCAAACCGTCATTAAGGGGGAATAGTTTCATTTCACTAATGAATTTTAAATCGGGAAACTATAAGTTAGTAAAGAGACCTCTTTTCTAAACTCCTCTTCTAAGCTGTACGATTATTTAGGGGGTTCATATGCACAACGTTAATTGACAACGAAGATAAGGGGTCATTGTCAGTTGGAAACTAAGTAAGTCAGTGTATGAGGAATACCGATGTGTGAAAAATTGTGAGTAATTTCAAGTATTCGAAAGGGCTAAAAAATTATTAGTTAAGTGATAAGTAATTATTTGGGAATAGTTGATAGGAAATAGGATGACAAAGTACTGAAAATTGGCTACAAAGATAAAAAGTAAGGAAGATCAGATTGATACTGAGGCTATAGCAATAAAAAAGAATGAATAAAACGTTTCTGAACGCAGGGTTTAAGTTCTCCCTTATGGAACGCTAAAGCTTCGACGACAGGAAGATGTAAACGAAATCCTTTTCAGCAGCCTGACCTTATTTAACTGCATACGAGGGGAGTGAATTGGTAGGTACGCACTGAGTGTGTCATCATTTGGATGTCGTCTATGACCTTTAAGTGAACAAGAGGAGGTGGGGAAGGTGAAGTGTACGGATGCAGCAAAGAACATTCTTCTGATTTCTCTCTTCGGGCAACTTCACTAATTGTATCCCCTCTGAATTTCAGATTTACAATTAGTTCTTTCTTCTGAACATCCAGATTTCGTGGTCATCGACTTTTATCTGCTTATCGGCGAAAGAACGCTGAACATTTTGAGTCCGTTTCCAGTGGTTATGGGAGGGGGGGTTCCTTCTGGTCCTGCTGCTTTCTCAGCTTTCAGGAAATTGATGATCCTCAATACTTCTGATTCTATAAAGGAGTTTGTGCCCACTTATGATAGTTGTCTTTTGCTGGTGTTACTTCTGGAAAATTTGTGGGAGTTATTTGTAGTGATCAGATCAGAGTTTACTCTGTCCTACCTCTTTGGTAATTAGGTTCCTTCCACTAACTTCATATTTGTTAATTTCTTCCTGGAAGGAGACTTTGTTATTGGATATAGTGTTGTGAGGTCTCTCTTACCTGCAACCTATTCACTTCCATATACCAGTGTGGTGTAAAAGTCGTTTGTCTTTTCTTCATTCCTTTTTCCAGTGTGCTGTAGGTTATATTCACCTCTTCCTTTCGTTGTTCACCTCTGCATCATTCCAACGTCTGGTTTACAATCCTTCTCTCAGCCTTCAAAAGTGTCTGTACTGATCGTTTCCTCGTCTTGTCAAAGATATCCGTATTGTAAGTTCCCTCCCAAGTCGCTTCCGTACAGTTATAATTTTCTTCCCCTGAGATTTCCGCAGTGATATTGCTACGAAGTCCCGATGATGACTGCCATGATGGTGTTCTTTGTAGATTCGTCCTTCAGTTTCTGAATATTGAGCTATCTCTGGCTTCTTTGAAGCAGTGACACTTGACCTTGGAGTCTCCTACACTGGGTCCTGAAGATACATCTCCTCCTCTCAATATTTTGTTCAGTAAGCTGTGTTTTCACTTTCTTGATACTGAAATGAAGTTTATCTGCCATGAAAACTATACTGCAGTATACACATCCTTGCTATGGTACACGCTGCCTGCGAACACCATTAGAATTACTGAAGTCTGCAAGGGGTTCTCATTTGTTTCATTGATCGACTTTCTCTTCCTGTTATGTCTGATGCCCATCTTGCCTGGCATTCTTATCACCCATTAGAATTTCGGAAATACTATCTGACTCGGCTCTTGTCCATTAGCACTCGTAATTGTCTGTGAAAGTCCCATTTCTCCTCTTGCTCTGTGTTGTTAATGGGCGTAGAGCATTGCATAATTGTAACTTTCCCCCTTTTGAGATGAATTTTGTTGCCAAGATCCTGAAGGAGATTGGATCCCACTGACCAGCCTTTGACGCTGGCGGTAACACTATGATGCCTACACCATCAGCGCGCATATGGTTGTCATCTGTGTGGTCAGAGTAGATTACTGACTCTCCATTTGATAATCGGAAGAGTTCACTTCTACTCCGTCTGCTCTTGCAGATTCCTAGCGCTCATAGACAAACATTTCAATTGCTATGTAATCTGAGCAATCTTACTGACCAGCCTCGAAATTCAGATAATTACATTATGGCTTCCACTCACTTTTATATGAATGTTGTTGTGCTGATGACCCTACCTGTCCGTTTGATTCTTACTACGTGAAGTGTAGCTAGAACACGTAAAATTCTGGCTGGAAGTTGATTTTCTAAACTAGAAGCTACGTGAATAGTTTTTTCATACATCATTTCATTAAATTCATCTAACTAAACCATAAAACTAAGTTTACCTATTGAAACGATTTTCGTTTATTGTAAACTACTGTATGAATCGACACTAAGGACAAGTAGAAACCCAATCACATTCCATACACACTATGAGCTACTATGTACTAAAATGTTAACCACACACTCAATCTAGTCTCAATGAAGAAAGCGACCATTGGGCTTGGAATTTTTCTGACAAACATTTTGGTACATAACATTAGGAGGATCAAACTATTTCTTTTAATATTCTTATTGTTACTGTGTCAATAAACCAAGCTCCAAGGGAAAGGTAGGCTGGGACAGAACTCATCGTTGTTTAAATAGTCGTAAATTCACTACAATTTTTGAGTCACATTTGTGCACCTAAACAGATGAAATCAGTAATTTATGTGCATTATCAGGCAAACTGAACGGTGTACAGAATGACTTGAACTTCGTATATTATTTGAAATTCATAAAATATCTGCATGCTACTTTGAAAAAGATGAAAGAAGTTGAAGTCACTTTTTCCTGATCTACCAAATGACAGTTTTCCACTGGATATATCTAATTATGTTCATAATTTATCCAATGTTTCCCTGTCAAAAGAACAAGCAGTAATTCTGATAATGGGTTTCAAGTTCTGTGTTCTCATGAAAAAAGTGAAGCAAATTGACATCGAATGTCTGTTTTAAAATCTTGACGACCAACTTATGGGGCTATATGCTAGGTTATGTAACAGCGAAAGCTGGTTGAGATCAAAGATGGTTGATATTGCTCATCAATTTCCAATCACGCCTACCAATCAAAAGTCGCATATTATCAAAGAAAACTGGAGGTCTTTACACAAGCTCCAAAAAGACAACAATATTCTTACTTTGCAATCTGAGAAAGTACAGAGTATGGCACTGATGAATAAGATGGATTACACAGAAAAAATGAATCAAATTCAATCTGATGAATCTAAATTCGAAGTGGATAAACATACACAAGATCAAACACTGTCGACTGAAAGAAAACTCGTGCATCATTTAAGGCAACTCTTCAGAAAGAAATACAGTGATGAAAATACATATAGGAATATCAAACTGATTGGGTCACAGATGCCAAAATAATACCGGCGTGTTAAAATACACACACAATGAAACCTATGCTCCTAATGATGGATTTACCCTACCGCAAATTAGCACAGTGTCTATATGGATTACTGCAGCCTTTGCGAAAACGCTTTGGAAAGTATATCGTTTCTGATTTACTCCAGTTTGTCAAGCAAATTAATGATGTCAATGTATCTGATAAGCATCTGGTCTCTTTCGATGTTACCTCCCTCTTAACAAATGTCATTGAAACTAATGACTTTATATGTAGAGAAGTTGAAGACATACCCATCCCAACATCGGAATTGAGGAAATTGTTGCTTTTATGTACTAAAAAATCCTATTCCAATTAGATGAGCGTCTATCTCGTCAAGTTGATGGTGTGCGATCGGAACCCTCTTGGGACTAATTTTCGTAGATTTATTCTTGTCAGGCATAGAAGCCAGTACTCTGCAAAAGCATAACCAACGAACGGTATTATACCTAAGATATGTTTATATTTTTATTGTCTGTGAAAGCAGATCTAAAGCTGTTGATAGAATTCAACTCATGCCATCCGAATTTCAGCTTCACAACAGAACACGAGGAAAATGGTGCTATTAAATTCCTAGACGTTTCTCTAGTGAAAAGGATCGATGGCACAATCGAAAGACCTATATCCAGAAAGTCATTATGGACAGGAAAGTACATACATTTTAACATATTTGTTCCAATCCAGTATACAAGAAATTAGTCAGGACACTGTTCAATAGGGCACGAAAAATTTCTTTCCGATAGTACAATCGGACATGAAATAAAGGCCCTGAAGGATACTTTATCTAAGAATGGATAATCCGGAAAAAACATTGATAAATACTCTGAAGAGATGAATCCCAACAAAACTATCCAAAGAAATCTGTCTACATTAATTTGCCATTCAAAGTAGGTGACGTACAAGAGGTAGTCAAGAGAAGACTCGACATAGCTATCAGAACTTATTATGCTGCAAAGCCCGTCTTTCTGAACACCACCAAGCGAGTGTTTCAACAATCTGGGCAGGACCAGCCACCAATCTTCAACACTTCAAACTGTGTATATCAATTTAAGTGTGTTTGTAAAAGCAAATACATAGGTCGTAGAGAGAGGTGATTGTCTACTGGCATGATGGAGCATTTGGCGAAGTGGTGGAAAACAGTTGAAGTCAGAGTGCTGAAAAGTTCAATTACACAGCACCTTGAGAACTACGGAAATGATATCGTCGCTATCAATTCATTCACTGTTGTCAGCAGACAAAGAAATAGGAAGATACTTGCAATTGTGTAGGCTTGCGCAATTCGAGTTTATAAACCAGGTCTCTGAGTACAATAGGAAATGGTTGACACTCTGAATCTACCATGATATTATGTTTTACTTATTAACTTTCATTACTAATATTGTTAACACTTTATTCTTATTCCAGAAGTGGCTTAACCAATGAGAAATGTAGCACAAATAAACTGGACAAGATACATTTACGTACGCTCCCCTTAGGAAATTCATGGAATCGTAAGGGGGGGGGATAGACAGACCTAATAGTACCAATTCGCTATTGTGTTGGTGTATAACTACGTGCTAAGTTAACTTAATTTGATATGGAAAATAATAAAGTATTATTCATAGGATAATATTTCGGGGATAAATATGTCAAGATATACATAACTTTCCACATCTTTTGTATCCCGACCGATAGCTGCTACCTTGACGTGGTGGTCGGGCTTGCATATCGCAATGACCCAACGAGCTATACTGGCTGGAACTTATGTTCCTGTAGGTCCTACCATGCCATGTTTGGATAGCGGTTAGACAAAAAGCAGCTACCCAATCCAATACTACGATTCAAACAAATTCACAAAATATCATGCCGGATCGGTCGGGGCCCAGTTTAACAACGACCGCGCTTCCTGCTGCCGTGTCACAGGGCAGAAGTGACAAATACGCTACTGAGTCACACCAAACAAGAAAAAACAAACAAAAACAGGCCGCGTGTGACCGGCCTCAAGCAGTTGTCCCCTGGGCTCTACGGTCATGCAACACTTTCTGTTTCAGGTTCCCGAAGAATCAATCAATTTCCACGGTGTGGGCAGCCGGGAAGTAACAAGTGCCCACACACTTCCAAAAGCACACGAAGCCTTCCTGAGCATCACTCTCCCTTACTCATATCACCTTCCCCATCTTGCTTCTCTACTACAGCTAGCACTATTCTTCAGGCTAGCGAGCCATCTTCACTTCACTCTGTGTCCACAAACAAAGGTGAGAGCCATAGAAACAACCCAGATAGCCTGTTAAAGCCACGTCGCCAACTGCATACAGGAGCTTTTAACGTCAGGACCCTCTGCCAAATCGGACAACAGGCATCACTAGCAAGAACTCTGGAATCTAGAACCACTTCATGACTGGACCCCAGTAGATAGTCGTGTGTGTGCGGTCCATCTGAACGGGTCCGTTAAAAGAAGGAAAGAAGACGCTACCCGTCGTTGCCTTTTCGTAGTCTCCGCTTAGGCCACAACAGACTGCAGTTCGGATGAATTAAAAGATGACTTCTACCTGAAACTGTCTAATTTGATGCAAAAAGCAAAACGTTCAGACATAGTTGTTTTAGCAGGCGACTTCAATACCCAAGTAGAGAAGTTGTGACAGACTGAGAAGTATGTAGGTGGTACGTATGGAGTTCCCTGCCGACGAACCGACAACGGTGATCGTCTTCTCCAGTTTTGCTCAGATAATCATCTGTTCCTAGTCAGCACTAACTTTAGGCACAAAGAAAGACATTGTGTAACCTGGCGACCTCCATCACCAAATCAACGCTGGACTCAGATAGACCACATAGCCATAGGGTATCGTTAACGAGGGTCACACCTTCTGGAACACGTGAGTAGACTCTGATCACGCTCTGGTTCGCGCACGTTTATGCTTATGACTAAATGGACATAAGAAATTGACGGCAGCGAAACAGCTACGTCCCCAACTAGATCGTGACACTGAGTCCTTATTTAAGGAAGAAATAGCGAAACGAGTTTCTGAGGTCGACAGCAGAACTTTCCCCGAGGTAACCTGGCACAACATACAGTTACCTGTGGACACAGCCGTGGAAGCTGTGAATAAGCTAAAACCTAAAGTTAATAAAAGCCACTGGATCTCTACCGCCTCATCCGAACTGATTGACGCAAGAAGACTGATTCCAGCGAGCTCCGATTATGATGAGGAGCGAAAGGCACTTCAACGAGAACTAACAAAAAGTCTCCGCAACGATCGTGAACAGTGGTGGGCGACAAAAGCGAAAGAGATGGAAAAGGCGTCGGCGATTGGCAACACCAGACAACTATTCAGGCTTATCAGGGAAACAGGTGGCAAAAGGTAAATGGTAAGTGAAACAATCTCGGAGAAAAATGGCACCATAATTAGCTCCCAGGATAGACGACTGGAACGCTGGAAAGAGCACTATGAGAACCAGTTTAATTGGCCTACAGCCACACTTAACCTGCCGAACATCCAACACCTCCCTGAATGGGATATAGACACAGGTCCTCCTTCCTTAACTGAGGTTACTAAAGCTGTCACTAATCTGAAGCAAGGCAAAGCAGCGGGACCTGATGGACTGACTCCAGAGGTATTTAAGTACGGTAAAGACAGTTTACTGTCTGCGTTAACTGAGGTTCTAGGCAGCGTCTGGGAATCAGAGGAAGTCCCATCGGGTTGGTGTAAGTCACTGATCATCCCGATATACAAGAAGGGAGACAAGTCTTCCTGTGATAATCACAGAAGGATTAGCTTGACTAATATAGCATCTGCAGTTCTAGGCTCAATAATACTGCGTAGACTAAGTGGTGCTCGGGAGGCACAAACACGAGAAAACCAGGCAGGTTTTAGGCCAGGAAGAAGGTGTATTGATCATATCTTCACCCTTCGACAGATTCTAGAACATAGGCATTCCTACCGGCGTCCGACAATCACTATATTTCTTGACCTAAAGGCGGCATTCGATTCTGTCGACCGAGAGGTTCTCTAGCGATGCTTGGCTGTGAAGGGAATGCCGAGAAAATACATTGCACTGATTAAGGCACTCTACTCGTACTCATGCAGCCAGGTGAGGGCCTATGACGAGTTATCATCTGAAGTGGTGACGACTAGTGGCGTCCGTCAAGGATGCCCATTATCCCCATTCCTATTCAAATTCATCATAGACGTATTAATGGACTTAACCCCAACTCACTTCAGCGACTCAGGGGTTGACTTGCTACCAGGAAATAATCTCGTCGACTTAGAATATGCGGACGATATAGTCCTACTAGGCGAGGACGCTGACGAAATGCAGAGTCTACTGAACACCTTGAGCTGCAATCTGCGATTCGCTCCCACCAAATACAAGATGATGTTACAGGATTGGACTACACCGACTCCTAGATTAGAAATAGGAAGTGAAGTGGTAGAGCACGTTGACCACTTCACTTACTTGGGAAGTAACATCATCCCCAACGGGTTTATCTCTGACGAAATCTGAGTAGGAACACAGACGGCTAGGTTCGCATATGCCAGTTTACGCCGTCTCTGGCGTAGACGTAATATCCGCCTATTGACCAAAGGGCAGGTGTACTGCTCAACAGTCCGCTCTGTCCTCCTTTATGGCTGTGAGACCTGGTCATCGAGAGTGGAAGACATGAAAAGATTAGCTGTCTTTGATCATAGGTGTCTGCGTTCTATCTCCCGCGTGAAGTGGTATAATAAGGTGAGCAATGTTGAGGTTAGGCGTCGAGTGCTAGGTAAGGCAGGGAAATCAGTCGACGAGACTGTGAAATTACATCGACTGAAATGGTTGGGACATGTGTTACGTATGCCTAGTCATCGCCTTCCTCGCCGAGCAATGTTAGCTGATATAGGGCCAGGCTGGAAAAGAGCTAGCGGCGGTCAAACGAAAACATGGCACCAGTCAATGAAATCCACAACAGTTAGTCTAAGCCACGTAGGAAGATGTAGACTTCCTGGTTGGGGTCCTCGGGACGGTAAAAACCAATGGTTGGAAACAATTGGTGACATGGCTCAAAATCGTTCTCAGTGGCGCAGATGCATCCACTCCTTGTGACTTATGATTTCCAATTAAACTGTCTTGTTCTCCGTTATTACTATTCCTTTGTCTCACACCTCTGTCTACTGTCTCTATTACGCATTTCTTCTCTTGCTTTGTGTGCTACATGGAGTGTGGCGACTTGAACTGCCGCACATATGTGCAAAGTTCTATGTCGAAAACAGACATCTTTTGTATGAACTGAAAATTATCTCCCACTTCTCATAGATTCGTTTTTCTTAGAATAGTAGTGTTTTACATCTATCAGCGATTGCTGTTGAATTATTTAAGAACAGACAAATCAAGGTGAAACGCACAACTTGAAGCTACTGTAATTCCATGGTGGGTTAAGTTTATTTTGATAAACAACTCTCATCATGAGTAAGTATGATTAGAGACATTTCGATGATACGGAGTCAATACAACTACCCTATAGAATCATATATTCAGTCTATTCTACAGTACCAACGCAATCAGCGTACAATCATCAATTTGGAACGCGAAGCCAAATGGTAGAGTTTGTCCCTACACAGATATTAATGTTTGGATAGTGGCTGCTTAAAATTTTCACAGAAGTGTATCTTTGAGAAACGCAAGTTGTCTTCAAATAAGATAACACAAAAGTGCATACAAAACCATTACAACGTTTTAATCAATGGTGAAATGCAGTCACCTTGTCAAATAATACTGTCTAACAAACCTATGTACACACTCAAAGTTCTCGCTTTTTGATGAACCGCTTAATACATGAGTTATTTGATTTTAACTGCCAGGAAAGTATAAACAAAGAACACTATTTACGAACTGCGTAACTGTACAACTTTATTAACATCACGAGTAAAATAAAAAGTACAAATTTGATTGAATAAAATGCTACCTGAATGATACAAAATAAGTAAACTTAATCGATTATTGACTTCTGGTAGACTGAAGCAAGTAATCTTCATTACATCAGACGAAGTCTTACGAGAATATGTAGCTAGTTTATCCACAGACCATGAACTAACAATCAGAGTTTTCTCTTCAGAAGACGAAGTAAACCTTAACAAGCATTGGCTTTGTGGAATACTGGGTGAGTTAAATAAGCTCCAGTTCAATTCTAAATCACATGAATCATGTTGATCTGTGCACATAGGAATTAATCGTATCACAGACCCACGAGGTCTACTGTCTAGAGATACAACACCCATAGCAAAATAAAAAGTGGGCGATGAATCTTTTGAACAGCTTTTTACTAAAATGGAAAAAATCAGAAAATTAGGCCGTTTATCCGATATAGTTAATAAAAGCTTAGAACAGGGTTTAACTGGTCCGCTTGAATATGCATCCTGACTTAACTTGCCGAAAATAATTTGTTCTGATATATGATCATTTACAGGATGTTCATCACTGTTATTTGTAAGTATAAGATAACCGATAAGTTCCATTGATGATGGACTGAAATGAATACCCAAAATACAAACTGGTTGCGATATTGATGAAGATTTCTTCGAACAATGACTTAACGCGGTAAACCAAGAACTAAGTTTCGGTTGATACACATCGGCTACACAATGGTGATAAGAAACAGGTACAAGACAAAATTTTCCATCAGATGATAATTGAAAAATGCTGTAGGATAGCAGATCAGGGACATACAAAACAAATAACAAGTCATTTTTATCAGTAAAACAGAAATCATACACAACTGCTGAAGAATAATTATGGCAACTATGAGAATTCTCACTTATCATAGGAAACATTTGTACATCCATCAGGCACGACTGGTGTAAATTGTTATCGATTTGAAAGTTTAAAGCGAGTCGGATTGAAAAAATGAACAAGGATGCAACAAGAATAGGAATACTTTTAGCTGAATATTTCTCAATCAATAAGACACCTACGTTCACATTTTCACTAGTGGGATTAGTTGAAAGTACAATCGTCTCTAAGCATATTAAGTCGGCCACGTATATTTTCTTTTCCCATAATAACTGGGAATCAAAATCACAAAATGAGAGTGCATACAAGCTAAGTGTACGATCAGAGTCATACAAGGTAATCAGCAAAAAATCCGACAACGGAACACAAGATCCCAAAATACAAGATATTATGCGTTTACAGCACTCCTCATCATTAGGTTGAATTAAAATGCTTTGCACTAGCGACTCTTTAGACGCTAGTAGTTCAACATAGTTGGGATCTATTATGAAGAATTCAAAATGTTTGTTAGAAATAAGAACTTACCAAGATACTCTGGAACGTTCACATCAGAGGATCTTTCTTCTGTTACCGGTGAAAATATACTTGTATAACATGCACTTGTAGAATTAAGTTTCTTCTCAGCTTTCTGCAAGTAAGTATCACGTTAAAAATATAGCACCTGTAGAAGAATACGTTTTCTTTCAAGCTCTTGCTGCAGAACACGTACACGTTCTTTAAGATTCTCAGATTGGTTCATAAAGTTGATAGATGTGCCCCAAACGTAACATGCGCTACAGTACAAAAAGTATAATGAAGTAATTAGATGGAGATGATTAAACTAATTACTCAAAATGCAGCATAGAAACATAGGTATACACATCCTCAGATACATTTGAAAGATTGGTAACATTATCTGATTGTCGAAGCCTTAGTAGGCTGACAGATCATTAGAGTCCAAGACTCAGAACAATGAGCCATAGGTTTACATAACTCGCAAATAGATTCGCAGTGTATATTTAATTTACACGTGCAAAAAACACGACTTCAGAAATATGGTCAACCGCAGTAAGATACAGTAAAATATTCAAGATTAAAAACTTCAGCAAATTAAATCTATCCACTTGCCGTTTAACAATCGACTACATTTGTATACGTCCATATTCAGTGGCTTATGATTTACAACACAGGCCATAAAAGCCGTAATATATAGACCCATTATGACATCAGTTATTTAACACCAAGTCCGTGGAAACAACAATAGGAGTATGGCAAATAATGTGAACAATACATGGATCCACATAAATTAGTACATGAAACAGAAATCAATTATCCCAGTGAAGGATCAGTTTTACTGGAAGCAGACGAATCTAATGATAAGAGCAAACGCTCACATATAGTCGTCCTAGCAAGCGAACCTAATGCTACGGGAAAACAAACCCACATAACCCTAAGAGAGTATCAGAGCTTTCTACGGACTGACATGCCGACAAACTAAAGCCAGTGACCGTCTTTCACAAATGAGTCCAAACAACCATCTACTCTTAGTCAACAATAATTTCAAACATGAGATATTCTCAACGGGCGACTGCCGACAGCAAGTGAATGGTGGATACAAATACATTATATAGCTATATATTACCGATAGGGAGAGTTGGTAGAGCCTTACTGCTTTTACTGGAATTGCTGTGCAGACTCCGCTAACACATTAGTCCGTGGCACGTGGGTGCCAACGACTTAATGGAAGTAGAAAACAAGAAGTTGCCCTTACAATCCCAATTTTCTCATGAGAACATAAGAACTATACTTAAAAGAGATGACAAAACATATCTGGAAATGACGGTAGTACTCGTCCTGTAGGAACCCGACATGATATTCAGTCTGACGGAAAAGTAGTGGTAAAGGGTGTTGACAACCCACAACCAAAAGTCAGTTAATGACAACGGATTTCTGCAGTTAAACCCAAATTTAACAAGGCAAGGAGACTGACCCAGGACTCCAAAAATGACCAGTGGCGGAAGGTCGAGATGGTAGTCAACTACTTGGCTACAGCTGAACACAAGGTGTCACCTTATTATGCACGGGAATATGTGATTCGCTTCAGGATAGTGCTACTGCTGGGATTCGTACTTATCGTTTTACAAGACCATCCACCAGACCAATTGATACTTTATTGGAAAAGCTAGCAGATATTAAGGGAATGGAAAGGAAATGAGTCGACAAAGCAAATGCAAGACAAAATAGAAGGAACACGCATAAAACAGGAAAAGTGCAAAATTAAAGAATGACTACTAGGGAGACAATTATAGCGTCAGTAGTCTCAAAGTAAGACCGTTACCAGAATTCATGTGCACAAACATTTCAGCTTCGTGTGGTCGTTCGGTATTCTGAGGCTTACTAACGTGTGTATTCTCAACTTTTTCGCATCAGACAGGATAATGTATTGTCTTGTGGAACTTAGAAAATGTACTTTCTCAACAAACTTGTATTTCTCCTGGCAAGAGTGTAGACGTGCTAATCTGTATAACACTAACAATTTCCAGACTATCTCAGAAACATTGCTGAGTACTAATTTTTGATTCTTACAGTTACAGGATATCATGTTTAGTCATAATCTTAACTGGATCCAAAAACCTAGAAATTTTCTGAACACTTCAAATCAACAAACAGATGCTAGGTGGCAATAACAACGAGAAACAAGAAGGATAGTATAAGCTGAACACTTAGAACACCTATTAGGTGTTGATGCTGAAGAATATTGCTATGTAGAGTTAAATTAGACTCCGAAAACCTTTAATAGAAAAGAACACATGCCAATGAATCATCCAGAACACATACGCTCCGCAACACAAGAGAAGTGTAGTTCGTAAGTAGTAATTGTATTACAGAAAGGATTAAAGTATAAACAAATGCCGCGAAACGAAAATTGTGGTTTATTTTTACTCGTCTATACTGAGTTCATTTACAACTTCGGGAATTGATTCACCATATATGACATGAATATATTCACGTTCCAGGTACCTAGAAGATGGAAAGGAATTAGTTCACTGAAAACTAGTGTGTACATATTGGTTGCAGAGGAGCTGCAACTAAGTGACCTGTGAGAAGCCACTGATTCCAGTGTCCAAGCCTACTAGAAGTTCATACTCAGTTGCTATAAACAGGGTGATTGAGTTTGCAGGGTTAATGAATGTGATATCTTCAGCTGGTTACAAAATACAGTCCGAATTTTTTTCTCGCTGTCCAAGACGTCACACTACGAAGTTTACGGGAGAATGCACGTAAACTGCATCATAATGGCTGTGCTGTGTGAAGGAGAGCCGGCCGGACAGTCCGTGAGGAGGAGGGGACCAACATAATCACACACAGCGCCCCGGTGTATAATATGCGTATCCAATCAGAATCATTTCTCGTTGCTTTCTAACAACTACTCAGTAAGTGAATTTTTTGGACCTGAGATATGTGGGTAAGAACGTGGGCAGTTTTCCGTTCAAATTTGGGCAGTGATAAAAGGTGGGCTTTTTTCGGTTGTAACATGGGTAAAGTGGGCCATTTTAGAAAATGATATGGGTAAAGTGTTCGTTGAAAAAGTGGGCACACTGGGAAAAAGTGAGACAATAGGAATTTTCGGGACATGGGGAAACGGGGAAAAAGTGGCCAATATGGGTAAAGTGTGTAAACTATGTAGCATTTACACCATCCTTTACTCACCTATTTGCCGATCAAAATTACCCATTTAGCCCACGTTTTGGCCACATTGCCCAGGTGCATTCTCTGACTGGGATAGCCCCGAACTTTAAACAAACTAACCCACTCCTTACAAACTGCAATGGTTCTGACAAATGCCTGAGATTAGAAAATGCTTACAAGCTAGAGAAGCGGTCCCTTACATTCACACATAACCCTGAACAAACAAGAAACTCTTTTGGATATTCTCGCAGTTCCTTCATAATTTTCTACAAATAGTGGTTTTTACCTGATTTTACTAACTTGCTCCGCATGTGCACTTTAAGATCACTGGTGCATTCGCATCTCCCAACTTAGCCGTAACCACAAAACATACGGAAGAAGCAATACGGTAACGCAGTTTTGCAGGCTGTTCAACACCCGCGCGGTTATTTCTATTTTCTAATAAGACATTCAATCGCCCGCAGAAAACACCCCACATATAGTTCCGAATGAGGAACAAAGCCCTCCAGTTTTTCAAAAATGGTTTGTGTAGTGAACTGATATGACTGTTGCAATTCATTATTCACCATATATCAAGGAGATGGTATTAGCCCCATTTTTTGACACTGGTTTTTATTGCTTCAGAACTAAACTAGACTTTAGGCAGTTGGTTGCAGAATCAATCCTCTTGAATATTTTATCTCTGATAGGCATAATAAGTGGAAGTACATCAGTTAGTTTTGTGGTCGTTTGTACCAGTCGCTATATCAGAAATCCAAATCTCGTATCACTGGTTATCCGTCCTGATAGGTTAAGAGACACTGCAGAGAAGGGTACACTAAGCTGGTGGAAAGAGATTTCAGAGAATGGTTAGGTTAAATAAACGGAATGAACTCCTGATTCCTACTCTAAGGACTTAATCCAGAGGGACATCATGAGGCATCCGTTCGTAGGGTTCAGCGAGAACTTAGTAGGAAATCTGAACTGAAATATTTTATTCTCAGAATTCAGTCTGACTGTTCTGAGCTGTCAGAAAATCGAAAGCACGGAAAAGATCTTCCGTAGTGAACCCTGAACTGCCTCAATTTTTATCTTAACAGGCACGCTTCAGGATAGGTTATAACGCCGTTTCTCACTATTTGCTTGTGCTTTTACCACATGTTTTCCTTAAGTTGGTAGCACAACAATATCAGTGAGATAGATTCTCAATCTCCCTCCTTTAGTGATCGTAAACCTTTACTTCGTCCATCACAGCCAAATTACTAATTCACTGAGTCTTTCAGGTTTGCATTTTATTGTCAGAACTTACAAGGTAAATGGGTAGATTTATTGTGGAAAAGATTTTATTTTGATAAATCACAGTGTTACACAGTAATATTAACTGATGACGAACTACTGCTCATAATCATATCAAGTCACTCACACAACTTTTTACTTCATTTATATACATGAGTGGAATCGATTAGATATTGGAATAAAAATCAATATAGGATAATGTATATTCAGAAATAATAATATGAGTGTTATTGATCAAATACAAGCAGATGGGAAGTAATACGAGTGTTTTTATAGTCAGAATAAGTAGCTTGTTAGAATGTTATGATGTACGTGAATTGAAATAGAATTTTGAGATTATTTATTATTGTCCTCTGATTTGACTGGCGGTAATAATATTTTCCATATTTCGGTTGCATGTGTGATGGGTGTAGACTCAATGAACCAGGATTCAGTAATCAATCCCTTTCCCCCCTTACATAGATTACTTCTTAGAATCTCAATCCTCTCTCACCCTATTGTGTGGCTGTGTGTTAATGCATGCAGTGCAATCGCTGAGCTTTTTTCTAAACTACCTATCTTCTCAGGGTCGACCATTCTTACCTTAGCTAAATTCTTATGTAGGTGTATGTGTCTCTGAGTGAGTTTGTAGGTTTGAATGCCACCCTAACTCCTGCTTTATTAAGAATTCTACTTAGGGTCTCAGATGCCCCCTCCTTTCTTATATGGTAGAACTGTAGATGCCTTATATTCTCTCTTATTTATGTTATCATTACTAGTTTCACAATTATTTTTATTTTGCTTTTGGCCTTTTTCTTTCTTTCTAATGAATTTTATGGGATAGTTATATGATACCAACGCTTCTTCAATCCGTTTCATTTCATCATATAGGTTTTTTCTTGTGCTACTTAGTGCTACTTCTCGATTTGTTAGACACTTAACTAAACCTGCCTTAACAGTTAGCGGATGAGACGAATTAAAGTCTAAATATCTATTAGAATGCGTTGGTTTTTTAGAAACACTAGTGTGTAGCTTACCAGTCAAATCAGAGGACAATAATAAATAATCTTAAAATTCTATTTCAATTCACGTACATCATAACATTCTAACAAGCTACTTATTCTGACTATAAAAACACTCGTATTACTTCCCATCTGCTTGTATTTGATCAATAACACTCATATTATTATTTCTGAATATACATTATCCTATATTGATTTTTATTCCAATATCTAATCGATTCCACTCATGTATATAAATGAAGTAAAAAGTTGTGTGAGTGACTTGATATGATTATGAGCAGTAGTTCGTCATCAGTTGATAATACTGTACAACACTGTGTGATTTATCAAAATAAAATCTTATCCGTATTGTAGTAATTCCCTACCGCAGTGCCCAAGTTGTATACTAATATCGATAGATTTATTGGGTAATTAGTCAGACTACACTTAGTATTTCTTGTATATTTTAAGTAATTACTGACACTAGTAATACCGTAACACATGTTTAACTCTTGAATAGACTGATCTGGTTGGTATCAGCTTGTCTCTAGTACATGCCAAAATGTGAGAGGTTGTGGAAAAGTTCATAAATTGTCCACCGTAAAGCCAGAGAAACCGCAGGTCTTGGAGAGCGTGTCAAAAAAGTGAATTATAATGCCGTCGTTGATTGCAAAAGGAACGCAGTTTATCTTCATATAAGTGTCGTAGTACAGCTGATCCACACACATACCTTAAGATTACGGTCCGCCGTTAACCATCAATGTAGTAACTGGTAGCGTTGTCATCGTGTGAATTTTCTGAAATGCGCATAATACAGGGTTGTTAAGAAAAGAAATGTATGTGGTCAGACGTGAATTGTGGAATGTCGTCCTAATGGCGTAGAGAATACCTATCAGTAATGACTTTAGGGATATAAGCAAAAGGCTTTTGTCAGAAATTTCATACAATTATTCCCCTTAATGAATTTGAACAAAGCAACAACTGCATTTTTAGCAGAATAAAATGGTACCATCTTTTATTTCGTCACCTTCTCGTCAGCTGCTTACAGGGCAAACACATTATTAAATGTATCTACAAAAACAGTTTAACACACTTGCACAGAGTTCATTTTAAACAAAAATCAATCCATCAATATACGCATACACCAATAATATATGCATACATATATGCAATATTAAACACAATTTCGAGCAATAATAATCATACACAATGAAAACTTTTCAGTATCTCGCATTCGGACGAAAAATATCCAGTTACCAGGGCAAAGAAAGACTGACAACCGCTTCTTTCTGAACGCACAAATCACGTTTTAGTCGCTTGATGGAAATGGCTTCAGCAAACTTAAGGAGAATTGAATTCTTTTCCTTATTGATAATTTTGAACGACTTTTCGACGTCCACCTCATGACCCGTGTCAAGAAGATGCCTGCCGATGGCACTGTTAAAAGCACTTGTTCCCTTTAGACGTAAGAATTTTGGAACATGTTCAGAAAATCGTAGATAAGCTCTTCTTTCTGTTCTTCCAATGTAACTGTTCCCGCAGATACATGCCGCGGTAACTGGATATTTTTCTTCCGAATGCGAGATACTGAAAAGTTTTCATTGTGTATGATTATTATTGCTCGAAATTGTGTTTAATATTGCATATATGTATGCATATATTATTGGTGTATGCGTATATTGATGGATTGATTTTTGTTTAAAATGAACTCTGTGCAAGTGTGTTAAACTGTTTTTGTAGATACATTTAATAATGTGTTTGCCCTGTAAGCAGCTGACGAGAAGGCGACGAAATAAAAGATGGTACCATTTTATTCTGCTAAAAATGCAGTTGTTGCTTTGTTCAAAATGCTTTCTGTCAGCAAAAACTTTAAGCTGACAATCGTTTGGTCAAGCATTGTGGTGAAGATTTCGTGACTAATAATGCCAGATCGCATTACACAGACAAAAAGCTTCCAGAGGAGGACGCAAGAGATGTCCGTGTGTTATTCACGATATACTATGGGACATCTCTGATTTCCTTGTTAGCCTTTTATGCAGAAATTCTATGGAGAAGCTTAACATCCAGATGCTCTGACATAGCTGCGTCTTCAGTGGTTGACTTAATTTTCTAAAATGTTTCCATTGCCTGTGGGGTGAAGGTTAATGTCTTACACGTGCACACTGAGAAATTAAACGACTATAGTAGCTCACCATAATGAGAAATGTGTGTGAGCACTTCAGAGATGTTCGTAATGAGAAATCTTGTACATTTTCAACTAAAGGACGAATGTCATCTCCATCGATCACATTTCTAATGGAAGCCAAGGATGGGACGCCAACCTTACACTTTTATAGATTGACTGTCATATAGTGTTTTGAGAGCTGACAGAAGACTTGGTGTGGACAACTGTCATGAGTCTCTTCATACGCACTAACCATACTAAGAGAACCCTTATCCATTCAAGAAATCAAGAATAGAACTACGAAATATCTGCAGGACGTTGCATAGACCTAAAGGAATGCGAAGAGACTCATAAAGACCAAAAGCAGTAGTGATTACTCTCTTCGGAAAATCAGTGACTGATAAGCATGTGTCACACAGCTCTTGCTTATTATACTCCAGCCTTCCAAAAGTGATGTCAAGTTGTGCGAATGTGAAAACGGGTAACGATCCGCAACCGTACGGTCATTCTTTCCTTAGTAATCACAACTAGGCCTTCGATTCAATACCATTGTTTCCATGGCACTAGACATTCGGGTGAAGACCACGGACTGTTGGATAGACTTATTGTATCCATTTCAAGCTTGTTCAGAGTCAGCCTTAAAGGCCTGAAAATCTTCTGGAAACAACCACCGTGGTCTAGCGAAGACAGGTGGACCAGTAATCGTGATGTGATCAGTCACATAAGTTATACCACCAGTGATTTGATTTTGTCGGCGAAAGATTGGATTTCAAACAAATTTAGCTGAGAAAGGGTCTATGAATCACAATACTGGAGTCAGAGATTCGTGTGCTAGAATCAGCCGGCTTATGCCTGCCAGCATCTACCAGCAGCTGGTAGGACTGCAAGAATATCGTGCCAATGGCGCCAGCGCTACGGTGAGAACCCAAAGTAAAGAGTGGCGAAGTATCGTGTTAAGGTCCAGGAATCTTCTACCATAATTTATGGTGGATGCGTAATTGCACAGATATTGGCCACAGACTCTCTTCTGTTGTAGATGAGAGGACACTAGTTTCTGCTCCACAACCAACCAGGAGGTGTATCCCACAGT